ACAATCTGAGAGTGATATTGAGCGCAGTGAGCCATAAAACTGAGGCTGGCTTGGAAAAAAAAAAAAAAAAGACAAAACGTGAAAGCAGAAAATGCGGTCGGACCTGTTCGTGTTCTGGGCGTGTCGACCTCGCCCTGCAGGTGAGCTCCGTGAAGGGTTGCAATGTACCTTTCAGAGACGTATGCCACGCCCTGCCGCTTCAATCAGGACAGCAAACGTGGATGAAAACACTGACAGGGACTCGGTCAAACCAAAGGGAAACGCCGTTGGAGCATTTCTCTCGTTATGCAACAATCTTCCCTCGTTTTTTTTAGACAAATCTTGGTGTATTTTAGGGAGAGGAACCGCCATGAGTCAGGCATCGGTCAGCAGTGAAAACTTCCTGGAGCTTGAGTCAGGACACTGTTTACTGCTGTGTGCAGCAGAGAGAGAGCGAGGCGGAGGGGTGGGGCAGGAGCTGAGCCACAACGCGTTTTTAAAATACAAACTAAATAAAGTCCACCAATCACACGCCTGAGAAACTGTCAGAGGACCAATGGAAACGTCAGGCCTTTACCGTGATCAGTACTTGAAGAACCAGAGCTTTAAAGAATGGACCATGAGGTGCATTGAAAAAATCATTCTTGGTGTTACTTTCTCAGGGTTACTTGTTTCAGGTTGGTTCCATTTGATCAAAAAAAAATAAAAATATATATATATATATATATATAAATAACAAACGGATCCATATTTTGCTCATAAAGTTTTGCCAGGAGGCCTAACTTTCTCAACAAGCGGCCCTCTATCGTGGATTTGCACATCTCCAGTCAGCTGAGCCTCACATTCCTAATTAGCAGCCGTTTGTTACATGTATAATGTGATCCATTCATCTTTCTGATCCGTGGTGAAACGACAAGCGTTCGGTGTGAACACAGTCATGGATGGTTTGATAAGACCAATTTAATCTTTGGGTTGAGTAATGTTCAAACCCCCGAATCAAGGTGTTTATAACGCGTCTTTGAAGGAGCATTTCAACACAACTTTGTGAAAGAAAGGCCAGCGGAGCGGTGCCTACATGCCAGCAGTCAGCCTGACCACAGCCGAGCTCACCGCTGCTTTTACACAACACTAAAGCTCCCCGTCTGTGGTTGGCTGTCTCACTCATTCCTTTTTACTCAGTCGCACCCTGCCCTGAGATTTCTTCACCGTTTTATTTAAATTTAAAAAAAATAAAAGGGGTGGAAAAGCCTGGGAGCACATAAAGGATTTACTAGAGTAATGACAGTGAAATGTCATGTGAGCGCTCCTCTGAAGGAGAAGAATCAAACAAAGAGGGAATCGGAGTCAGTGTTGAAACTCCCTCTGCACCCCAGGCTGAGGAGTCAACCGTCCCTCTCATACCTGTTCCTGGTGTCGCCCGGCTGGTTTGGATGCAAGATGAGCTCATAAAGAGACGTGCAAACCTGCAGAGACGTTTGCAGAAAGGACACTTTGACAGGAGCAGAGTTCAAATTTGGTGTGGTAGTAGCTGGGTCTCATCCTGAACACTTTATTTAAAACTTTCAATTCAATTCAGTTTATTCATTTAGCGGCAAGTCGCACTGAACAGAAACATTTATATTTAAAAATAATAACTTAACATTATTTATCTGAGGAGCAGACTGCTTTGAATTTAACTCCATCACAGAACTCTCATCTTGAGCAAGAATGAAGGCGACAGTGGAAAGAAAAAACTCCCTCATGAGGAACTTTCGGCAGAACCAGGCTCAGGATAAGAGGCCATCTGCTTCGACCAGCTGGGTTTGAGAGGAACAGATACACAATGGCAGGTCAAGAATCACGTTAAGATAGAAATAGTATCAAATGAAAACTAGTCCATTTTAACAATTCTTTTAAAGAAATGAGGTAAATTTGTCCTCCAGTAGTCTAAGTCTATAGCAGCATAACAAGCCAACCCTAACTATAGGATTTATCGAAGAGGAAAGTCTTAACCCCAGTCTTCAAACTGGACAATGTGTCAGCCTCATGGACAGAAACTGGAAGTTGGTTCCACAAGAGAGGAGCCTGATAACTGGAAGATCTTCTTCCAAGTCTGCTCTTGGAAACTCTAGGAACCACAAGTAAGCCTACAGTCTGAGAGCCAAGTGCTCTGTTAGGAAAATATGGAACAATAAGATCTCAAATATTAGATGGAGCTAAGTTGTTGAGAGCTTTGTAAGGTAGAAGTAAGATTCTGAATTCAATTCTGGATTTGACAGGGAGCCAATGGAGAGAAGCTAAAACTGGAGAGATATGATCTTTCCCAGTAACTCCAGTTAAGACTCTGGCAGCAGCATTTTGACATATGTAAACCTTGAGAGTTGGAAAAAAATAAAGTGCCAACTTCTGTTTTTGTGTAACTGCACCGAGGCATAAGAAAAGTCCCTCTAAAACACTGGATTGCCACGTCAAAATCCAGTCAAGAAAAACATTTAACTCAAAATCTACAAACATTCACCTTTCAAATGCTTCAGCAGTGAGGGACGACGGGGAACACTGGTGTATTTAAAACACAGACGTCAGTTGAGCATGACCCTCAGATATACCACACTGTAGTAGTAGTAGTAGTAGTAGTAGTAGTAGTAGTAGTAGTAGTAGT